ATACCTATAAAGAATTAATTAAGTAAAATGTAAAAGATATAACCAAAATGAGAAGTCTACTGTTTATTTCCTGGACATTTACTGTCAACCAAGCATATAAAATTAACACCATCCCTTCCACACCAAAATGTTCAGCATATGGGACACTTTTCACCTCACACCTTACAATAGTATAGTAAACTGGACTCTCTATATCTTAGTAATATCTGCCTTTCTGCCTACTATATCTAGCATTTCTTTTTCCAGTTATGAAATCAGGATTTTAAACTAAAGCACATGGGTGAGAGGCTGTCCAAGTAACATATTTTATTTAGTTATAAAGTGTCTGTCGATCACATACAAGAAAGAATGCATTAAATCGGTATCCATGCACTGAAACAGCACTAACCTAGACTGTAAGATTATTAAATAACTTTACGTTTATCGCATAACAAGAGGATAAGGGTCCGACTTCCTTTCGGGGTGCGATACGTTTGTAAACCATCAAAAATAGTTTCTCTAACTATATCTTAATCATGAAAACGTTCAAACAGTTCCACTCAATATATGTACTTCCCTACATATTCAAAAAACTTGTGCGACGAACTATGTAGTATATGAACTTAAAAAATATGTAATGACACGAAGGCCACACACATACAGATTACACACATTAGATTTTTAAAGAACTCACAATATAGGTGCTCCCATTTTCTTCTCTACACTCTTGGGTATCCGGAATTGAAAAATGCATACTCGTTTCCCTCCCCGCCTCCTCGCATCTGCAAAAGGCGAAGAAATAGAGATAGACGAGACAGACGGGCAATCAACTCCTTTAGCCAGGGGTTTGTTGACATCTGAGCGGTGACATCTAGCGGCGGCAAGGCCAACTAACGGTCCTCAGGATTGCGCTGACATCTAGCGGCAACAACACGAACTAGCAGTCCCAGCAGCCGGCCTTTGCCGTTCATTAAAGATTTTTTTTCCTATTTTCTTATAATATTTATTTTGTTAGAAATGAAAAGCACGTTTAACGATTTAGGTCTTTTATCGGATTACTTTGTTTGAATATTGTTTTGTCTAAGAGGAGCCGATGCTAAAAAATGCCGAGACAGGGAATAAAAAATATCTCAATAATAGACAGACTAACAGTATTCAACATAAAATTCGAAATAACTTCTCACTGAAATGAAGGCAGGTCTTCTCACCCACGATTATTTGCCAACTGCCATCTCTGACAAATTGACAGATGATCCAACAACAACAACAACAAGTACAAGTGCCAGCGTGGACGTCCTCTATTAACCTAATTTACTGATATTCAAATGAGATCTTTTTATCCTTAAATTATTTTCCATTTTATTATATTCTAGCTAAATGCTTGTATCGGTTAAGGGGGTACATATTATTTTTTCGTCATCTGTTCATTCGCAAGGTATGTTTCTTCACGTAGAGTTGAAAATTATACTTACAAAATAGCAATGTAAAAAGAAAAGATAATCTAATCGTATATGCAAAAATGTTTCAGTAAATTCGCGATTTATAAAAGAAAATTAATTTATACATGTATACGACGAGCTCTTTAATTCTGTCTCGGCAACAAGGGCGTGGATACAGCTGTCGCTTAACTATTTTTTCACAGCAATCTTTCCCTTATCAAGACTTGAAAAAAATAGATAAATGTGGAGGATCGAGATTGGATCGAGGAATGGCCAGCAAGTACGACAATATATAAGGGCTAGAAAGCAAGCTGCAATAAAGAATCGAACTTTATTAAGGACACACCTAGATCCTCTATAGACGCGCCAGACCCCTTAGCGGCCCTCGGATCCTGACGCTTATACCACATTGCCGATACCTCTGTGGATCATCCGGCGAGACGAGGCGACAGGCAACCCAGTACCTGGAAAACCGAATTCTACCTCCCTTTTACCTCTTAATTCTCTTTCAAAAGCTGCACAAGATACAGAACGATGGCGCCAGCGACCGAGAGCGCTCCAGCAGCGGCCCCCGAAGCCGCGGCCACCTCTAATGTGGGCATCAACGCCGTCCTGCTCGGGCCGCCTGGATCCGGGAAAGGAACTCAGGTAGGCCTATGGACTGGATTTTGATGGACACGGATTGAGGGAGAAGGATTTCGATTTCTGGGACGGCTGAGGAAGACAGGAATGGGGGTGGATAGAGAGGTGAAGATTTATGAGGAGACATTCAATAGCGAGGGATGTTTGGTAGAGTCTTGTTGAAGGACCTCTTATGGGGAAAGGGTTAAGGACATTGATTTTGCTCTTGACTCCTGGAGAAGCGGTTCATGGGGTTGATTTGGCTTCGAAGGGGTTGTGAGGTGACGAATGGTTAGAGGTTTGTGTGTCGGGAGGTATTGTGAGGGAACCTTTCGTGAGGGGGTAGGAAAAGGGACACTAATGCTGCGTTCAGAACTCCTTGCCCAAGACGTTGGCAAAATGGATTAGGTGTTTTGACTGGGATCCCGACTTTGGCGTCAGGGACAAGTTGTCCATCTCGTCGGTCTGGCCCTCCTTTGCAGCCGGTCAATCAAGACAAGATGACCGCAATGGCATTCATATGAAAGGGTGTATTTTTGTTTGTCAGTTGCAGGTAACATAACTATGCATCATAGGAGTTATAAAATCTGTGCAGCATGTAGAATAAAGATGCTAGTATGGTTAAAGGTCCAGGTTACGAGCATGGCAGCCATTGTAGATTTCTTGTGGTTAGGCCTACGGTTGCACACAAGCATATGCACATATAAACATAATTTCTGGTTAATAAGTACGAACCTAATCTAACATAAAGTTAGTCACAATTTTTTGTTAATTTTTCATAAATTGTCAACTTTTTGAGGTGCACAGTCACAAGAGTTAAGATAGTGTCAGTCATGTGAAACGATGATACTCGCAGATGTAAACAACAGTGGCGCCAAGCAAGCAAAAGTGTGCTGCGATGTTAAACTTTGTTTTAGCAGTTGCTGAACAGAACAGAAGTGTGATCCATAAAATGCATTTGGGTTGATTCGTAGCCACTCACGCCAGGGGCATTTTGTAGCCAAAATAAAAAAATCCGGGCGGCTACAAAAATCGGCGGGCGGAGCTTCCCCGGAGTCTGTCCGCCCACCCACCGCGGCCCGCTGCTGAGCCGGAGTGCGACCCCGATATAGCGTCACACTGGCAGGACGCGCAGAGTGTTTATTTTTTTCAGGTGTCTCAGATATGGGACACCCAGCGTGATTGGGTTAATTTCAATGTATATGAAATTTCATATTTGCTAATCCATTGTTCTATAGTATATATAATAAATTTATTCTCATATTTTTCAAGTTGCCATTAGTTTTATTTACCATAAAAACGTACTCAAATATAGATCTTGATTTTTCAAATGGAAACGATCATTATCATCAGACTTGAAAAAGTGACAATTTGCTAACAAAGATTTACAAAATTTCAGAAAATTGTCTAAAAATTTATGGAAAAAATGCTAGTGTGGCAGCACCTTACCCTAACCTAATTGCGAGTGATATCATCTTCTCGTGCCAAGACACTGCCATCTTGTTTGTTTCACCACGCATGCGCACGACACCAATGAGGGCTTATCTGCCGTACCAGTAGTCAGCTCTTTGATAGAATAGTGAATGATTACGTTCAAGCTGGTTGCAGAGTGGGCAATGAAAGCCTTGGAGATGTCAAACATGGCCTTATCCTGCTGGTCCTGGCAAGTTGTCGACAATCAAGACAAGGAGTTCCAAATGCAGCATAATACCAACTTGATTCTATGGGAAGGTATTAGAAGGGGGTAGATAATGTATTCTTATGTCATGAGAACAAATCTAATGACCATTTTGGTTGCAATCACAGCTTACAATCTTGATTTGATAAGTCCTGATAGAAGGGAAGGGTTTGAAGTATATCAAGAAAATGATGGGGTAAAACAGTCTTAAAAAAATTTTTGGGAAAAAAATAAAAAACAAAAGGAAATCTAACCCATCGTTCAGCAAAATCAATAAGAATTCACACCGTCGAAAACCCCTGTGGTCTTACAATATGTTCCAACCAATAACCCAATTTATCCTAACCCTGAGGTATTTATACAATACATTCTGTATATTTCCCTCAGCCCTCAGACTGTTATTTCACATGATGGTCACGTCATATGCAACCAGTGGGTTAAGAGGGTGATTGGAGGGGAGTATCCATGGCCATTCACAGAGATGCCAAGCCAGGGGAGAGGATCCTTTCAAGGTCTTTCAGAGTACTAATACAAACCTTGGATAGGTTCCTGCTCATCTGCTACTGGTTTCCAAATAGAATTTAGCCAATGTTCCTTGTTTAGTTCTTTCCAATAGCAAAAACATTCTCTGACCTTTTGTACAAGTATTGAATGTCTTTCCTTGTCCATGTCAATATAATTGATTCAGAAAAAAACTTGGCAAGCTGCTTTATAATCAGTTCCTTGTTCTTTCTCATTTCCTATATCTTATAGTGATGTCAGCCTATATTGTATTATCATGAGGCTCATCAGAATGTTGCAGTGGTTTTGATCTTCAGTCCATGTTGCCAGTATTTTTCTATTCTTAGTCACAGGTCTTCAAGAATGATTTGTGTGGTCTGTACTTGTTGGGAACCCTGGTCAACTGTCATCTTGAATTGATGTCCAATTGGGAGCCATCTTTTGGATGAGGTTAATATGTGGTAAGAATAGCAAAAATATCATATTGTGGGTGGGAAATAAGTGCTGCATAGGAGGGAGTAGAGGGTGGAGGGTGGAATGTGTAATGTGTTTAAAATCCTGAGAACTGCTCTCTGACACACACAAACTGATCATGAAAATAAGTTGTGGATTCCCAGGAATAACCCCTGGGTTTTTAGGTTGGAGTAATAGGGACTGTGTCTCAGTGGTTTGATGTTACTTCCTAAATAATTAGCAATACTTTCATATATATTATAAACCAGCCATATGTGATGGAACACAACATATTCATATATATTACACTGAGTCATAGGAATGAAAGATAATGATGTAATAATGTGTGAAACAAATAAAGATACAAAAAAATGATATTGATTACAACTTAAGGTGTATTACATTTGCAAGTAAACACTGAAAAATGTCTAATGTCCTTTGTGTTAGATAGACTTTCAAAAGGTTGGAAAATTGTGCTGGCTGTACCTGAACAGTATCATTTGACCTGTATGAGTTTGCAACACTTGTCAGAGTCAGGTGCTGTACTGTAATAAGTATTTACCATGTTTAAAATTGATATTGAAGAAATGTCATATACTAGTCATCTCAAGACATTCGCATTACAAAGTGAAAGTAGAGAAGTTATTTGATAAAACAAATAACATATGCAATATAGAATAAAAGATGAGGAGGCAAGGGGAAGCAATTGTAGAAGGATGGGGAAGTGTTTAGGGGAAGCAGTCCCACTATACACCAACAGACACAATAATAAGATTGAAACAATACAGGGAGCCAGTAGCACAGCTCTAATACTCGATTAAGCGATTAAATCTAACCTATGTGTACTCAACAGTTAGTTTTATAACTCTGCTTCTATCTATTTTAGCACTCTTTCCAGGATTAAGTCAACAAGCCACTCATGAATAAGGGCAGTTTCATGTAGACTTTGAGCTTCAATGGAATTTTGAGTGGTTAGT